GACGACGACAACTGTTTTCATTCTCAGTTTAATTTCCTTAAGTCAAACAGAGGAACCCATGGATCCATCTGTGAGTTGTAAGAGTTTCCCCACAATTAGTTTTCGCAGAAATAAAATAGGTAACAAGTTTTTCCCCAAGGAATGCCATTGCTAAAGAAATAAACTTGGGGGAAAATGACGAATGGAGGTCTGTGAAGAGGAATGCTGAGCTTATTGATCACAAATTCCTTGGCTGAGCAGCTTGTGCTGAGGAGCATCTTGTTTCTTAATACTTGGGGCATAGTTACTCCTCTGAGTCACTGTTTTACAGATGACTCTCTAGTCAGTGGATCGCTAGAGTCTAGCAAAAACAAAATATATACCATGAGCCCGAAACCTGCTTATCCTGCCTTAAGCAATATCTCCAGAGGAGTCTATAGGTAATACTTTCTCTCAGCAAAGTAAACGATGCCTCAATCTGTCTTGGCCAACATAATACACCTGAAATCCTTGTTAAACTGGTTAGACCAGTCAGATCTGAACAGTCCCAACATTTCTCTCTCTTTACATTCTCTCCCTCTTCCTTTCTGTCTCAGCTAACACTGTTCAAAGCCTTTCATCCACCAAGTTTCTTTCCAATGAGACTGCAAGTATAACTTACTTAGTGCCCTCCAGAGCATGCAGAAGAGCAGGGTGAAGCCAATGAAAGCCCAGTTCCACTCATGGTTCCGACCAACTGTAGACACTCCCATGAACACAAAGATCAGGGTCTCACTGACGCTGCTCAGCATTTTCATGAAGTATTTTATAGTTACGTAGGAATTTTGAGAAACATTGGCCTCCACATATTTCTTCATTGTTACTGCACATGCTGTAATCCTGTTGAGTCATAAACATGGAAGAAAAGGAGTATGAACCACTGGAAACAGTAGAGGATGAAAAGACAACAAGTCCTGTTTGTTAAATGGCAGATTTCTATAGTCATCATGAGGGTTAGTTTATGGCCTCAGTCAGAAGTTGGAGTTTGTCTATTCCTGTCATACACAGACTGGCTGCAGCATTCTGGGGTAACATTTTTTCCCCTTTTCAACTATTCCCAGAGTTGAACTTGGGGTTTTTTTTTTTTTTTTTTTAACACACAACATAACTCTTCTTCTGAGCTGTGACCTGTTAACCTGGAAATATAACACCAGCGATTGGGATTGGGATGGTGCAAGCAACGAGCCATCTGGGGCATCAAGATTTTGTTTGTGGAAGCTGGTCTGGGTATCATGTTAGAATGCCTACTAATCACAAACCCATTATCTAGAATTATCTTTAGACCAGAATCATATAAAATAAAAGCAACACATCTGTAATGCTTATGCTGGTCTGGGGGAATTTGCAAAGAAGAATCAGTGAGCAAGAATGCTGTCCTGCAAGTGCCACCCAAAGTGTAATTATACTGACTTTCTTATTCTGGCTAGAATAGAGAAGTTCATCTGTAGTACCAGTAGGATTATTTTAGGGAGATTTACAAGAAATAATTAGACGTGGGAAAGGTTTGGAACTCACGCTACTTTGTGCTGGTTCTTGCTGCTAATGCCCTACCTGCACTGAGATTAATTTTAAGATGCACATTTAATTATAAGATGCACTCCTTTATAAAGGGAAATGAGTTTATCAGTACATACTGAATTGGTACCAGAAAAAGACAAATAGAAGCAACAGAAGTTGTCAATATGCTTGGAGTAAAGTGGAGATTTGCAGAAATAGACATCCATTAAAACAAACAAACAAAGCCCACACTGGAGACTTAATCCTTCTTCCCTCAAAAATACAGCATGGATTGAGCATGCTCTGTGGTCATGTAATTATTATGTTTCTTCTGGAAAAGAAAACTTGAAAACTAGAGGGTGGTAGAATTCATATCTTCCAGGATACAGCTTCCAGGTTATAGCAGCCTTAATTGCTTTTCAGTCTTCTGGCTAAGAACAAATATAGTATAGTTGCCTTCCCTAATCCTCTGATCTCCAGATGTGGGGAAGTTACTGCTTAAAGAATGTCTGGCTATGAATCCTCTAAATAGTTTTTGTGTCACACCTGGAGGCCAACAGAAGGCGGAACCATAAAATCTTGATTCGGGTTCTATTTATTTATGGCCATTGTATATGGCTCCCTAACATAAAGTTTTTTAAGTACTTAGAAATCAAGAGAAAATAAATTTTAAGACAAAATAAAACATGAGACAATCAGATGAAGAGCAGAGTGCCTGTCACCTAATTTATGTAATATTGTATAGCTGCATATCATTGTTTAGGGTAGGGAGGGTTAGAGGATGGAGTGGCTCCAGAAAGTGGCCAAGGAGGAAGAATGAGATACAGGCAGTCCCCAGTTCAAGAATGAGTTCCATTCCCAAGGTCAGTCTTTAAGTCGAATTTGTATGTAAGCTGAAACAACATTATTGTATAATACTGTAAGCACAATACAGTACAAGTACTGTACAATAAGTAGTATTGTGTAATGAACTCAAACCATTGTGTATTTAATTCAAATCATTGTGTATTTAATTCAAATCATTTTCTATTTAACACAAATTTTGCTACAATAGGCTCCATTCTTAACGATGGTCGTCCTTCAACCAGGCATTCTTAACCTGGGGACTACCTGCATTGCCATAACTCCGTTTCACCAGAGCAGAGAAGGTTATCTGCTACTGCCATCCATTGCTGAGGACGAAGCTGTCAAAATAGGAAGCCAGTCACCGGCTTGTCCACTGCAAGGGAAGGGCTAATTGCCACAATTGATTTTGTCCACTCTTTAGCAGAAGATGAACAACTTAACACATATCCTTTGAAGCCCCAACAGCAACTCCTGGAGATTTCCCAAAATTGTTACCAGCTTGTCATATTTAATGTAACAATGAAGAAAAATGGTTAAATACATGCAAAAAGAATAATCACATTATCAATATTTGGCTTTAATTGTTTAAATGAAACAAAATCAAAAATGGCTTTGTCCTAGCATTTTGCCCCGTATATTATTCACAGTCTTAAGTATGGTCCTTGGCCCAGATTCTGCTGCCGAAAGACTTCATAATAATATACTTTGGATGAATGGAGCTTTGCAACCATTTCCCCCCCAATTTTATCTTGAAACTTGGTTGGCAGTAAAAATCACTCCACTATGAGAATAAGCACCAGCATGATGACGTGCCCTGCCCTTGATCTAAGCACCACTTAATAAAGGTGTAATTCAGTACCGTATGCTGAGTTCATTATTATCAAATGAAGGAAATGCCTAAATCTACTTTGTTTAAATTAATTACTGCCTGGTGACTAAAGTCCTGTGGTTCCTCAAACAGTCTTTCTTATCACCTGAGGCAACTACTCAAGGGTGTAAAACTAGGAAACGATAAGTTAATTAGAACATTGCAAGTTCTACTTACGCCAAGATGCCAGATATGTAAAGTGTTTCTGCGGTTAAATAGGACAGGTAACTGAACATGAAGACCAGGAGAGGTTCAATGGCAGAAATGTTTTGGGTGAATCGAGTCATAAAAGCAGCCACAAATCCAAAGACAATGCCGAAGAGAAGCCCTCCAAGACTGACCACAAAAAAGCGAGCAAAGCCAGCCAGGATGTCAACGGGTTCAATCGTTTCATATTTATGCATCTGGGTAAAGTCAATGAATATGTTGTATAGGACCTGCACAGGGGAAAGAAACAAAACATTTCATCCTTGGTTCTCCCCAGAGATGCTCATTGCCACTCTCCTTTAGACCAGCTGTGGCAGTGCAGCAGATGCTCGGCAGTGAAATTCCCCCTCCATCATAGCCTTAAATAGATAATTGATTAAGAAGGACTATTCCCTCTCACAGCATCCAGTGTCCCAATGTAGCAAATAAATTCAAATAAATCAAAAAGGAACCAAAAGAAAATCTGAGAATATAACTGGGTCTGATTTAGTTACACAGCACCACCGATCCATGAGATTTCAGCTGATCAAGTATTTTCAAATGGTTTTTATATGCAATATTATTCTCTCCTGCAAGTGGTATCTTTAATTCAGTTTGTTGCATTTGGCAAACTGATCATCTGTCATAAATGAGCGATACTCAGAGACTTCAAGGTCGCTCTCTTTTCACCTGCTGCTGCATTAGACATGGAAGACACTAAATAAATGAAAAACATAAAATACATTAGCAGACTGCATCTCTGTGCCAGAAAACAGGCATGCATACTAAAGGGGTGAGCTGTAAATTTTAAAATAAATGAATGAATGATTGAAGAATTTTTGCTCTTGCTATCTGTGTTTTCAGTCATCTGTGAAGTCAACTTCAGCGCTGTCATTCTGGTCATGGAAAGTCCATCCCAAAGACACTCATTTGATGCCTTCTGTAAACTTTTTTTTTTTATTACTATCTACCAGGTGAAGATTTGCTTTAAAAGGTCGACCTGTGTTGGATACATTGCAAATTATATGGTGGATATAACATTTTTATTTATGTTCTAAAATGTGAGCTTGCCTTTTTACTGTTCTGTTAGTTTTATACTGTGTGTCAATGCTTCATTGTTGTAAGGTCCCCAGGGGGGACTGCTACTGGTGAATGCAAACATTATAACAAAATAAACCAACTGATGAGTAAATTACTCTTTTTATTTGCAACACTCAACTCTGAATAAGTCACTGCTATGATACAAGCTACAGTATTTGGAGAAGCATTATCATATATTCTCACTGCATCAGCTGGTTAAATTTGTTTGAACTTGGAAACAAAGTAAGTGTTTGAATAGAAGGGAATATATATAGCTCAGGGTTGAACTGTGAAGTCCTTAGGGTCCTCTGAGCTTGGTTGTTTTCTTGCAGACGTTTCATTACCCATTTCATTACACTGAGGATGTTACCTAGCCGGGTAATGAAATGTCTGCAAGAAAACAACCAAGCTCAGAGAACCCCAAGGACTCCACAACAAAGCAGGGTTGGGTCTAGGTAGAATTTGGATGGGAAACTAGGAGAAATATTGGGAGCTGTGGATTAGATTAGGAAGTTGAAATATGCCCTGGACAAAGACAGGAACTTTCATACTCTTGCCAAAAAAAAAAAAAAATCTATCTATTTAAAAGGATTAGTCCAAAAGGGATTGTGAGGGAATGCCATCTACAAGCGCTCAGGGATGAGTTTTCCCACTGACCCATGTTCTATGGATCAGACTCTCCTGAGATATCCAGTCCTCCTTCACCATACTGGGCTTCCAAAAGTCCATACAGATTTTGGAATTCGTTAAAGGAACTGGGCATCACTGTCATGGTGCATTGTTTAGGTGTCCTTTGTAAAGAATATTATGGCATTATATATGCCACTGAGAGGCTATGTGGATCCAGCAACTGAAGTAAGCAAGTAAGTAAATACGCATGTTTTATATGGCAGATTATCAAAAGCAAGATGCTGTTTTGAAGAATAGAGAAATCTGCTTAGCAACAGGTCAGTTTCCACAGTAAGACACTGTACCCATCCAAGCATAACATGGAAATCAGCCTCAGAAGGAAAGTAGCAAGAAAAAAACCTTATACCACCATCTACCATCTTTGAGATCTGTATAACAGCAGCTGTAGCAGAAATTTTTGTCTATATCCCAGCACAAAATATATGAGAGCCTGTGTAGTGTAGCAGTGAAGGTGCTGGACTAGAAGTAGAGGAGCTGGGAAACCTAGTCCTCCTTTAGGCATGGAGGCCAACTGGGTTACTTTGGGTGAGTCATTGTCTCTCAGCCTTCAATTGACCCTAAGTAAAAAAAAAAAAGTCTATTTACCAGCCTGCACTGGGCCAGTGTGGTAGATTATGCTCCATAACATTCAATTAAGAGGTCTTCATGCTGCAATGGGTTGATTCGGCTGATTACAGATAAATATCTGTCCATACTCAAAATAGTCTCAATGATATCTCTGAGCATAGTCTGAACACCGAGTGAGAATCATTGCTTGGGTAGAAAAAAGATGAGACTGGAATTCTTAGTCTGAGTGAGATAAACACCATGGTTTTTAATTCTTGATGAAATGGTTAGCTGTAAATTAATGCCAAATTGTAAAAGCTAAGACATGTATTGATGCTTAGGTGTCATTTTGATTAAGGATCTTTTGCTGTAGATTCACTAGCTAATTTGGAGGATTCAGTCACTTCTGTTCCTCACCTATAAAGACAGCATGATCTTTGTAATTAAAGTTTTTGAAAGGCAATACAATGAATGTACGTTTGATAGTTTATTTGATTATAAACATGACAGGTTGCGGCTTAAATCTGGACAGTATCATTTTTTGTACCATTCACCAGATAACAGTACTAGACTCCATTTGACCAGGGAACTGGTTCTAATCCTTAATCAGCCCCCAAATGTATGGGTTATTTTAGGCCTACCTCAAAAGGTTGTTGGAATAACAAAAAAGGAATATGGGTTGCCTTGTCCTCCTAGGAAGAAAGAGAAGAGTACGTACACGCATGCATTAGAGAAGCTCGGTTTTTACAAAAAGTTGCAACATACTTACTACAGTTATCCCATCATTTAATAAGGATTCTCCAAATATCATCATGTAAAGCTGTTCGTTAACTGACATCTCCTCAAAGACAGTTAAGACAGCTGTAGGATCCACCGCTGAGATCATGCTGCCAAACAACAGGCTGTCAAGCAGGTTCACATCCTGGAGGCCAAAGGGTGTGATCTGGCAAATCCCATAAAGTGACAATCCAATGCCAAAGGAATTGATGAGGGAACCCATTGCAGACCACCAAAGAATTGAACCAAAGTTTTCAAAAAAGGGACGGGTGGACATAAAATAACCTCCTTCAAGGATAATGGGTGGAAGGAGGTATAAGAAATAAATGCTGGTAGTCATAACTGGTGGAGATTTGTGATGGGTGCCAAAAATAATCCCACCAACTAAAGCACCCATGACAATGTGGATACAGTTTTCTGGCATGAAGTGTGGAAGTCGATGGTAGAGATGGAAACCTTGAATAAGACAGGAAAATAAAATCATCATGGTATGATTATTGGGGTTTGGGGAGAACAAAGTCTTACTCTACAATTTGTTCTTCAGCTCAGAGATCAGCAGTGCATTAGCCTAATGGATCCCTGGGCCAGATTTCTCACACTACTGCTAAAGATGGACAAGTTGTTGCCTCTTCAGCAATAGCAAATACAGTTCACCCATTCCTTGAATGAATGGAAGATTCTCTGAGCAACCAAAATGCATAAGGAATATTGCAATACTACACAGCCAGATTTGATCAGCTAGCTTAATTCCATTGTGATTAATAGATTTAAACGAGTTTAACTTTCTCTTTTGACCTTTTTTGTCTCAGTGTTATGTTTCCTTTCCCATTCAATGGCCTTGTCCTTCTCCTGTTTAATCGACGTTCTATCATCTGTTATGCTCTATTCTTCCAGCTATATTGTATCTAGGAATGCCATTTGTCAAATAGCTTCTCAACCTGTCATGTCACATTCTCTGTCTCCCAGGATCACTTTTGTGTAAGATTTTTATCACAGCCACAGTTACAACTGTATCTTCCTCATACAGAGGTAACAGCAGATACTTTAGCAATTTTGTTCTGCAACTATTAGAAATGGTTATCCATTCTAATATATATAAAGATATAAATCAATTAAATCATCATCATCATCATCATCATCATCATCATAATTCTCCATGATATCAGAGCAGCTTAAACGATTAGTACCAAAGGCTTCATCATCACCATAAACATAATATAATGTAGACTGATCCATTTACTGGAAGAAATCTGAATAAAGTTGTATATTAATTACTCAAATCAATTAATTACTCTATCAAAAAATAGATCTTTTTAAAGTGTTTAAGAAGGTTGTATTGTATCTTCACTGTATTCAGGCAAAACAGAAGTCACCAAGGGCCATTATTCTTCTTAGCAATAAAAAGATAAGCATCAATCAGATTACAACAGAATTTAAATTCTGCATATCTTTGACAATGGGTCAAGTTTTAGAGTTTGATATTTGGGAAGATACTTTAAAAATAATTATTATTTTTAGTTGTTTTTAATGTAATAATTTTAAGTATTGGTTTCTTAAATTCAATATTGATCTACTTTGGATTTCTTTCCAAACGTAGGCAATGCAGTCAAACCATTTAAACAAAAATATTAACTGAGTGTATTTTCAAGTAGTTTGAGTGAAACAAATTATTGCCCTTCCTTATGAAAATGTAAATTGTTGTTAAAACTGTAGGTCTATTCACAATCACTAGTGTAATAAACTCAATTGAGTACAAGTATATTTACATCCAAGTAAACATGCTTAGTATTTTACTTTGTAAAATCATCTTCTTCCACACATTATAACTGAAAGGTGAGGGGGAAAAAAAGCTTTACATTTAAAAATTGAGCTCAAAAATGCAAAACCTTCAGTGCTTTTCCAAAATTAGTGAGGTGAAACTTTCAGAGCAAATTTTAACTTTTTCACACCAAACACTGCATATGCTCTTGAAGGTGTCTGAATTAAGAAGTTGGAAGACATCTCTAAAGTGTGTGCATTCAAACATAAAATATATGGAGGTTAATTTGGGTTCATCACAAAATAAATTTAAGACCATTAGCACTGTATCTATTCTCACTGGGTGACATTTGCACTATTGACTTTTGGGTGATCAGTGTACTTAATTTTTCAAGCCTCGAGTAGAATCTTCTTCACAGCCTAAAATATCTCACTAAATTGTTATTTCCTCAGTAACAAGCTGATTTTTTTTTTCTTTTTGCAGTTTTACTCTTTCCCACCTACTTTTATTAAGGAAGCATTTTTCACTCACCTATTTTCGCAAGGGAAGCCAAGAGTATCCAAAGTGTAACTTCGTAGGGGATTTGCACATATTCATAGTCCACTGTGAAAATATGTAGTCTCTCATCTCGTCCTGATTCTGTAGCATCAAAGGGGTCTGCTTTATTTAAAGCACTAGAATTCTTCTGAGGAAGTTGCAAATACAGGTCTCCAGCAGCAAAATAACTTTCCAGGCTTGATAGCAGGAGCAACCAGCTGAGAACATTTGGATACCCAAATATCTCAACAGCCATGATGAGAAGAATTTTACGTATAGGAGGTCTTCAAGGGTGGAATGCTTAAACTTGATTTACCTTGTTAAATTCCCATTTTAAGTCAGAATCCTTAGGATTGTTCCAGCCTTATGTACGCTTCCTGTCTGGTTGCTTGGTTTTCTCAAATTCATTCTTCTTTAGGTGTTCATAAGAAACTAAACTAAATTTAATTTAGAAAGCAGGATTTTTTTCAATGTTTCACCATGTTCTTCTGACACAGCTTGCAACTGCAGCTTCTTACTCCATTTGGAAGGAAAGAAAGAATACAGTTTTATGCCTAATGGCACAATCTTTGACCTAAGTCTGCTAAGAAATAATCCATCAGACTTACTGAGTTGCAAAGAATCCAGAAACAGAATCTATTCAACAAGTCCTCCTCCAATAGCATTTTTCTCCAGGTTTACTTACACTTAATCATTTCTGGCTTTGTGGCAGAAACGCATCAAATGTTATGTTAGAGACACCTAATGGAAGTCACAAGACTTGCAGCCATTACTTTACTGGAAGATATTAGGATATCTGAGAAATTACTGGAAGATACCAGGATACCAGGGGAAAAGCACAAGTGGCTCTCAGATGAAACCATCAGAGTAGCCAAGCAAAAAAAAAGAGGGGAGCCAAAGCTGCAGGCAAATGGGAGGAAGCAAGGAGATTGAATGCTGATTTCCAAAGAACAGCAAAGAAAGACAATGAAGTTTACTGGGACCAGTGTTGCAAGCAGCTAGAAGAGGACTGCATGAAGGACCATGTCAGGAATGCATTTGCACAAATCAAAAGGATTTGAACACCATTTACTGCTCATAAAAACATCATCAAAAACAAGCAAGGAAAAGAGCTGTCTGACCAACAAGGTGTTAAGAACAGATAGCGAGAATATACAGAAAAGCTATATGCCAGCAGCAAAGAGGCCTAACCTCCTCAGGATGATGAGGAAAGGGAAGCAGAAATAGAACCACCCATCCTTCAGGAAAAAGTTGTGTGGGCAATGAGCCAACTGCCGAACAACAAGGCCCCAGGTGTTGATACCATCCCTGCAGAATTGCTATGGCCTGCATTACCCACAACCATCACAGCCTTGTGCCAGAAAGTTTGGGAACTGAACACAAATCAGTAAGCCACTGTGCAAACACTATATGGAGACACTGATTGGTTCAAGATAGAGAAAGGAGTGGGGCAAAGTTGCATTCCTTCACCTTTCTTATTCACCATGTCTGTGAAGTAATTGTGAGGAAGCTGGAACTTGAACAATCAACAATTGGAGTAAAGATTGGAGAAAGGAACGTCAACAATCTTCAGTACAAGTCTCCACTCAGAAACCAAAGAAGTCCTGAAACTTCTGGTCAAATAGATTAAAGAAGAAAGGGAGAAATTTGGCCTCTTTTTGAACATCAAAAAGACCAAGGTAATGACCACTGCAAGGAATAGAAATGTCAAAATAGCAACTGATGGTGAAGAGATCAAAGGAGTGCAAGAATTCACTTTCCTAGGATTGCAGATTGATCAAATCAGTGAATGCATTCCAGAAATAAAGTGTTGAATCGCACTAGGTCTCACAGCAATGATGAGCATGAATCAAATATGGAAAAGCAAGGACATCAGTCTGGCAACTAAATGGAGATTAATCCACACTATGGTGTTTCCCATAACTACCTATGGATGTGAAAGTTGGACCATGAAAAAAATAGACAGGAGGAAAACCGACTTGCTGAGCTGTGGTGTTGGAAAAGGCTCCTGCGCATTCCTTGGACAGCAAAGGAGACAGACAGACAACTTCTGGGGTGTATATAACCAGACATATCACCAGAAGGCAAAATCATAAAATTCCGCCTTACTTACAGTATTTCAGCCATGTCATGTGATCAAACTCACTGGAAGTTATGCTTGGAATGGTCAGCAGTAAAAGGAAACAGGGCCACAAAAAATATGTTGGCCGGACACCATCAAAGCCGACACCAACCAGAGCATAAAACAGCTGAAAGAAACCGTACAAGATTGGAAAATGTGGAGAGAGCTGGTCCATCGAATCGCCAAGAATCGGACACAATTGAATGGATAGCATCATCATCATCATCATCATCATCATCATCATCATCTTCTTCTTCATCATCACCAGGATATAGTTGGGGCTATCAAAGGATCACCTTTATTTGTTTCTTTGTTGTGTTTCTTTGTTTGTGGATTTCTTTATTATTGCCTCAGTTGACTGCAACTCTAACCATTGTAGAACATTTAGTTTTGATAAAACAGCACAATTCCATTGCAACATTCAATAATAACATTAAAACAGCTTAATTACACAAACCAATATACATTCTGGTGCTGGTAGCTATATATGGATCGATCTCCAATTTATTCTGGAAAAGCCAAGTTTCTACAAGCTTCCCTAAGGCTATAGGCTATGAGCATGGGAGTCACCCTTGCCAGGATAGAGAACGCAATTATTCCAAAGGAAGGGAGACCCCACAGAAAACACCACTATTGAGCCTCCTCCTATCATACCCTCAGCAGGTACTCCCTCCTCACTTAAACTGAGTGGACAGAATCTACCTGGGAGAGGGAGGCTCAGAGACTCCTAGGCCCTTAGCCCTATAGGACTTTATAGATAATTACCAGCATCTTGAACTGCGTTTGGTAACAAACCATAGCCAACGCGCCTCCCACAGCATAGGTGTTACATTGTAGTAACAAGACTGTCCCATAGCTGGTCATTTTATGTTTCTCTAAACAAATGTGTTTTCTCTCTCTCACCCCTCTGTATGTGTGTGTGTGTGTATGTGTGTGTTACTTTCAATTAGTTTACAGCCAGGGGCACCTATGAAGGGTTAAATCCAAGTCAAGAATCACCATCACATCCAACTGGATAGCATATCAATAAAATAGCTATGACACTAATTCGTAACAGTACAATTCCATTTATTATTACAAAAATATGGCATTAAATAATAATACTATATTACTGTTTGTGAGAAAGAAAATACCAAGTTGTTAAAATGCAAACTGGGAATGATCACTGATTCCCAGAATGATCATTCCCAGCACTTACAGAGCTCACTAGAGATGGGTGAATTTGGTTTCTCCATACTTCTCATTTTTCTATGCATAACTGTGGTTCATCCTATTTCCATATTAGTATCTTAACAAACTCAGTTTACTTCACAATTGTCTCTAATGTGCATATTTTTCTAATAAAACACATTATACGTTATTTCCTCCAGTATGCACTTTGGATGAGATTATTCCTAAATGGGCTTTTTTTTTTAAATTGGTGAAATGGATCGTAACCTTCATAGAAGTACAAATTTCAGAATTTCAGTTTAAAACTGTCATAGTAGAAAAGTCTGAAATAAAATGCAAATGAATCTTTCTCAGATCCCCAATTCCACCATCTAAGAATCATTTATAGCTGGAGTGGGTTCTGTATGACTGAGCTATGGCCCTACCATATCGTTCTCTTCTTCATCATCCATTTTTATTCTTTCTCCCTCATTTTCTGTTACCAACACCCACAAGAGATGGTGGGAAAGGAAGGCCACTTGTTCCCAGCACTCTTGCTATGTTTCACTGGCAAGTGATACCGTAATTTCTTCCAGAACTGTTTATTAGCTGTAGGAGAAGTAGATGTTCTCCAGGTGATCCTGGGCAAAATCCTGAGGGCTTTCTTCACCTTAGGAGGTAATGAATGCGGCTCCTGAAAAGTCTCAACCTGTATTAGGATGGGTTTCATTGTTTTATCTTCCAGGGCAGTGTTGATTGCTGCTTCAAGTTCAAAGAGAGCCTGGCTATTCTTAACATAGTTCGGACTCAAGATGAGGATTGCCCGCCTGCTCTTTTTCATAGCATTTACAATGTCATCGGTGTATGCTGGCAAAAGAGAGCATTATTAGTAACATACTTTATTTCTTTTTCATGTCTTTGAAACCATGCCTTGAACTGGATTTATAAAGCAGGGATTCATAGAATTTCAAGTATTAAGATAAGATTCAAGCAAAAAAAAAAAACCCTCTGAAAGCAATGCAATTAAATCTGAGAAGTAAAAAAACCAAAATGTTCTTTTTTAGCAGCTCATCTATTGTACAAAATAGCACACTCTCTCTAGGTCAGGACTGAGTGTGTGCCTTTTGTATTTCCTCCTGACCAGTACTATCAGCACCAATGACTTTTATAGAACTGCTTTGTTTTACTCAAACAGGTAAAATCTCAACAACTATGTGATTTGGGCTTGGGTTCGGTTTTGCTTGCAAATGATGCTATGCTTAACATAACCCTGATATTAGATTGTCAATTTTTTACCAATGGAAAGTATTGGTGCTGCTATTTTATTTTAGCTATTGTATGCAATCAAAGAAAATATTACCTCCCCCTGGAAGGATGTCTCTTTCCGTGAGACATAGCTTATATCCATACTCATGTTCTAAAATGAGTGGAAGAAACTCCAGAGCTAACTGCTCCTCGTTACACGATTCTTGGTTGGCTTCAGCGAGCTCTGGTTTTGCATAGGAAACAAAGGCATCAAATTCCTTCCAATCTAAAAATAAATAAATTAATTAAAATAATGGCAATGAAAAGTGGCAAGTGGGTATTAAAACTTAAAAAGGATGAAGAAAAGGAGAAGGAAGGGAAAATCTTTTCTGAATCAGTGAGATGGAGGTGAAAGTTTTGTTTGTCAATCTTAAAAGAAATC